CCTTCTGGCATCTTTATGGTTTGGATGTTTGCATTTTGGGGGATGCCCCAGAGTCTTCTTAATCTCTTCTCATCATTTTTTTCCTTTTTTGAATTCTTGTTTCTTCATTCTGTTCTGGTTGATTGTTTATTTCTTCCTTTTGTTCCAAATTGTTAATTGGGACCCCAAGTCCTTCCCTTCACTGTTGGTTCTCTGTGAATTTTTCTTATTGCACTTAGTGTAGCTTTCTTTTTTTTCCCCTTATGCTTTTGCCATACTCAATGAGTTCTCTGAGCACCCTGATAACCAGTGTTTTGAACTCTGCATCTGATAAGTTGGTTATCTCTGTTTCACTTAGTTCTTTTTTCTGGGGTTTTGTTCTGTTCTTTCATTTGGGCCATGTTTCTTTGTCTCCTTGGTATGATAGTGTCCCTGCATTTCTTTCTATGCATTAGGTAGAGCTGCTTTGACTCCTTATCTTAGCACACTTGTTAAGTTGTATGGTGTAGAATGTTAGGTATTTGCCAAAGTGGGGCAGCCCATTTCACCATTTCGTGGCTCTGTGTTGCAGGAGGACTCAGAGAGAGGACAGTGCCACTGCCTGGCTGCTGGAGGCTTGCTCAGCACTGGCTCCATTTCCAGTCACTTTACCCTCTTCCCATGTACGACTAGTGCCCTTCCAGCTGTTGCCCTGGTGGTGGTTCGCAGGGTAGGCGGGTTTGTGTACATGCTAAGACCCTGTGGACCCTTTAAATGGACTCCCCTTAGAGACTGGCAGTTTCTTCCACTGCCCCAGCCCCCACTGGTATTTACAGCCATAGTTATGAGGTGTTATTGGAGCTGGAACCCTAGGCTGCATGATCTGGCCTGGGGCTGGGATGGCTCACTCCCAAGGTATCCCTCCCAATTTTTATCCACCACATGTGTATGTGGGACTGTCCATTCTGCTGGCCCTTGAGGCTGCCGCCTCACCTCCATCACACTGCATCCTGTTTGCCCCAGGTCCCCAACTGTGCCTTTCCTCCATCTGGATGACTATGGCTTCTTTAAGTCCTTGGTTGTCAGGCTTCCATACAAGTTCAATTTTCTGGCAGTTCTGGGTGATTTTTGTTTTGAAGTTAGTTGTGGTCCTTCTTGATGTTGTGCAAGGAGGCAAAGCCTGTCTGCTTATGCCTCCATCTTGACCAGAAGTCAGCAAGACTGTTTAGAGAGGACCTCTAACATGCCAGTGAACATGAAAGAAAACCTGACCTCGGTGAGACTGTGTGTAATAAAATAACAGTAAGATGCATTTTTCCGTACAAGTATGCTTACGAGACTTAAAAGGAATCGGTCACACCCAGTGTAGGCAAGATCGTGAAATGCAACAGTCTTTTTGGAAAATACTCTGGTACTATCTTATAATAAAGAACGGACTTTTGGCATAGCAATTCCAATTTTGTAAACCTATTCCACAGAATTAAAAGAATGGTTTCAAATGAAATATGTAAAAGAATGTTTATCACAACATTGTGTTTGTAATAGAAAAACACCCAAAGCAATTTATTCATTGTTAACAAGGTGATTGAAGAAATTACAGCATATTTATATTATGGTGTATTCTGCAACTTTTTAAAATAATGACCTTAAGCTATACGTGTTGTCCTGAAAGGACATCTATGATATTAAGAGGAGGGGAACAAAAGTAACCCAGTTGCAGAATGATGTGGATTGTTTGATTACTTCAAAAAGAAAAAAAATAGAGAATAAATCTCTATTCTCTGAACAAATATGTATGAAATAGGACTGCTTCATAGAAAAATAAGAGAGGGGAAGGAATGGACACAAATACTTGCAAATTACCTAAGTCTGGATTTCTGAAAAGGGCACCGATCAGATAAATAGCTGCTCCTTAAAATGTTATTCACATTTGTACGTGGAAGAGCATGATTTTAGTTCTGTTCTAGTAGAAAGTCTCTATTCCTCTGGATAGCGATGGAGCTGTCTGCCACTGAATTCACTGGAAAGGGGTCATGTCATGAAGATTTTCAAGACTCACCTGTGGTCATATGACCCATGAAGAAGGCAGAGAGAATATTTTTCTGGCACCAGTATTTTGACATACTGGTTCATCCTTTGATCCGTGTGTTTATCCAGCAAGGATACAATGAACTTCTCCAGTGCTTTATAGCAGGAGGCTGTGCTAGGTTCCTAGGGGTGAGGAGGTCACTAAGCCCTTGCCCTCTGCAGCTCACAGTCTGGGTCATATCGACAAGTACGCAGCTGTCCTGCAGAGTATGGTATGTGTGCAGCACATGAGGTAACATGACAGAAGATGTGTCCAGACTGCAATGGCAGCCGCCACCCAGGAGTGAACACTTGAAGAGCAGATAGGTGCTGAGGCGCTGAGCACCTATACAGCGGTGCTGAGGACGGAGATGCCCACGGCTGGCCAGGGTTGGCAGGGGCTGCTTTAGATGCCCCCACGTAGTGTATGCATAACACTAGATGCAGGACAGAGCCCATCCAAGTAAAATATGACAGAGAAAACTTCACCTAAAAATATTGGTAGCAACAGTGCACTGTCCCCCACATGTTTGGAGGTAACACTTATTTTTATTGTAGAAAACTTCAAATTTTTGTGGAAGTAGATAGACTAGCATAGTGAACCCCAATGCACTTCACCCAGCTTCAGCGGTTACCAACATCTGATCAATTCATTTCATCTCTACTCCCCACTCACCCAATGGCTTATTTTAAGGCAAAATCCAGCTATTATTTTACCTGTAAACATTTCAATATTTATGATAGATTGCAAAACATGGCCAAAAGTCCTTCCATTCTTGCATGACCTTCCTTTGCAATGTAATCAGGCTGGTCTGCCCCTGTGGGGATTAGGGGAGCATGTGTCCCAACCCCTTGAGTCTGGGCTTGTCGGCTGACTCACTGTGATTAATAGGATGTGGCAGAAGCAGCACCATGTATCTTCCAAGTAGAAGCTTCAAGGGGCCTTGCAGTTTCTGTTTTCACTCTCTGGAATGCTGCTGCCCAGAGACTGCCAGGTAAAAAGATATATGAATATGTATCTCATAACTTTGGGCACCTGTGTTTTCATAGTTTTGACAGCACATCTTTGGGATAGGTTCCCAGACATACGCTTACTGGCTCGAAGGGCAAATGCGTGCGTAATCTTGCTAGATATTGCCAAACTCTCGCCAGGGGTATCCATTTTGGCTTGTTACCTGCCATGAATGAAAATGCAGATGGTTATATTCGATATCATAGAAGTAAAATAAATTCTGCTTGGTGGAGAGTATAATAAACATTTTTCTGATAGAAAGTGTCAAAGCGAACACAGATTGTTTCATAAGCAGGGGAATAAGATGGAAAGGTTGGTGAAATGCATTATGAGGAAGGATGACATGTGACCCACAGGCCCGATGATAAAGTGCTGGAAGACCCTCGTTACCTCTGCAGCAGACCTCAGCCCTGGAGAGGCTCTCCTTTCTCTGCTTGGTGTGTGCGGGGCGCTCTACTTCCCCATCTCTCAGCTGTTTGGGCCATGGGAACAGACTGGGCCCATGCTATGTAAGGCAGCCTGGCACGGAAGCTTAAACAGTGAGTACTGGGAAGTTCCCAGACTTTCAAGGCCTGCTGTTTTAGTGAATGAAGTCTTGCTTTACCCTTGGGTTGTGTTGTTGTGGTGTGCTATTTGTGTCAGCCCATCAGGTTGAGCAGCATTCATAGTGTCTGTAAACAGTGTGAACGTGTGTAAACACATTGCGTAATTTTTCCAGCAATTGAAAGAAAATATTTAGTTGGCCTGGAGGATATCTCATTTCCATTTACCTCATTTTCCCTAATTTTACTGATGTATTCTTTCACTGGTTCTACCACCCAGATAGGGAGAAAAAACAGCTTGGGAGTTGGCAGTGGGGGTGGGAGAGGGAAAGGGTCAATTTGGGGTGGAGACACAAAAAATTGCGGGAAAGTTGGATGGTACTAGGTCAACTTCTTTGGTTCTCATCCTCCCTGATGTCTTGTTGGCATTTTACCTTTAGTTGGAAGCTCTCGTTTCTTCTCTTTCATGGAAGGTGCCTCCTGGCTCTCTACCACGTCTCTGCCTGAGCCATCCCTACACTCCGTGCGCTCTTCTCCTGCTTCCCAGGTCAGAGCAGGGGGCCCTTCAGAGCTCTGCTCCCCAGTTCCTGGTCTCTCATTACGCATGCGTATGCATTGTATGTATACTAATGCTTATGTATTTTAATGTGTAACCAAGTGCTTTTCTACAATTAAATAAGCAAAGACTTAAAAATTAAGACCTCGCATATTTGGAAAAATAAAAACAATGTATTACAAATACGTGAAGCAATAACTTATTTCATACAGTGCAATAAAAGTACAGCAATCAAGATAACATTCAGTCATAAAAGGATTGAACTACTGGTACATGCTAAAACATGGCTGAACCTTAAAAACAGGCCATGTGGAAGAAGCCGGACACACATATAATTGAAATCACGAGAAATGTCCAGAATGGGCAATTCTATACAGGTAGAAAGTAGATTGATCCTTGGTTGCCAGGGTCCGGGGAAAGAAGGGAACAGGGGGTGGCTGCTGATGGGGTGCATTTTGTTTGTTTTTTGATAAAAAAATATTCTGGAAATAGGTAGTGTTGTTTTTGCACAATCTTGTGAATATACTAAAAATGCTTTAAAATGATTATTTTATGGTCTATAAATTGTATGTCAATAGAAAAGGACTGTATAAGGGAAAAAACTCTATTAATATAATTAACAAAATGTTTAGGGCAGGTATATCCTGAAATAAATAAGGGTTAATTGACAGATGTCAAGAACTGCTGGAAATCTTTTCTAGACCACAAGTGCAGCCATCATTTATTGAATAGGAGAGGAGTGAGCTTCTAGTTAGTTGCCCCATGTCATCTCTAAGGTGCTGTGTCCAGCAGTTGCTTTGGGTGTGGGACTAACCTCTTCATTTCGAACGCTCCTTCTTCCACATTATTTTCATTTTACTTTCAGCATCACTATGACAGCCTGTTCCACCGTGGCTGCCCTGGGAATGATGCCGCTCTGCCTTTATCTCTACACCTGGTCCTGGGACCTTGAGAAGAATGTCACCATTCCATATCAGAACCTAGGTGCGTATGAGCTTGTGGAATGAAACAGCCACAGGAGTGGCGATCGGAAGGATAATGGCTAATGTTCACTCTGGGCCTCTTTAGGCAGGGGCTTTTATATTATCTAATTTAATTCTCTAAATAACCCCACAATACAGATTCTATTACTAGTTCATTTCCTAGCTTTTTGGGATTAGGGGGGTTAAATAACTTGGCCAGGGTTGCGTAGCTGGTAAGGGCAAAACTGGAATTCTGATTCAGGGATCTGACTGCAAAGGCCAATAATAATAAATAATAAAACTTATTTATTTAAAAAAAATTACCTAATTTACTCTAAAGCAGTTGGGCTCATTATGATCAGAAAGTTAACTAGATCACAGTGGCTCAAATGAGACCTTGGTTTCCACGGCTCCTGACTTCTCTACTGATCAACAAGAATGGTTACTATGGATTATTATTAAAGTGCATCTACACGTCATAACTGCTACTCATATCTTTTTCTTTATCTCTGTTCCTGAATATCATTTCTCATTAAGCCCTGCCCTTCTCCAAGAGATCTCTGTGGACCCACTAGGCTTGGAAGAAAAATTTGGTGAAATTATCTGCCTGTTCTAGTTCTAGTTTATCCAGAGACTTTGGAGAACTGGTAGAACCTATGATTCTTAAAACTCTAACGTGTCAATCTGGAGTCTCAAGTAAGCACCTGGAGGTCTTACAGCCCAAGGTCCATATTTCCAAACCATGACTACAGCCCTCTCCTGATAACAGCTAAAGACCAATGAATTTGTAAAATCTGAGGGAAATCTTCATGATTTCATGTGCAACCTTTTCTGATCAGTAAGTTACTTGATATAGTCTGTTCTGATAACATTCTAAAAACCACTCATAAATGATTAAAACCCAAAATATTGTGAGCAACTTACATAGCTTTGGAGCCAGTATTGCAGGCATTTGCCCCAGTTTGGGAATCGGCCCTGGAAATGTCAGTATACGGATGCTGTTGGCAAGCTGATCCCTGCTCTACTGAGCCTGCCTTCAAAGCCTTTATTCACTTGTGTTAATTAAAAGGCATTTTGTTTTTCCACCTGCTTTTGGGTTACCTAGCCACACTTGGGAATATGAGAAATTGCTTTGGCACGCCTAACAAATGCTCTTTTTTTAATGTCTGAAACAGGTATTCTTACTTTGTGAAGCAAATGACCCATTGTCTTCAAAGAGGGAATAAGAGCTATGGTTGTAGAGGGTGAGCCCAGACATAGAAACAAAGGCTACCGCAGATTAAAAAGGGTCCTCCAGTTTTCTGACCTTTCCATTTCCAGTTGTGTCTAAAGTTCCATGTGACTGTCAGAGGGATTCTGAGAAAAGTGAGGGCCAAGTATGGTGGCATCAGTAGTACCATATGCCCTTCAAAAACTGTCTTCCAACAATTAAAAAAAAAAAAAGAAGGAGGTGGATGCAGAAAAAGAATGCATCTTTAATTAAAGCTTTTTATCTAATTGAAATAGAAATCGTTGAGGACTGGGCGGTGAAGGGGAGAGGGGACCCTGTCTGACCGATTTTTCTTCTCTTCAGGAATTTCCCTTGTGTGTCTGACCATTCCTGTGGCCTTCGGTGTTTATGTGAATTATAGGTGGACAAAACAATCCAAAATCATTCTCAAGGTAAGCAGCTCCACCTGGCAGTTAGCTCAGCCTCAGACTCAGAGACCTGACAGGCAGATGGAGCAATGACTGGAACAAATGAGCCAGCAAATTGCAGTCTCACAGCCAGCAATATTCCTACGTGACCTACATTTTAGATCCAACTGCCATTATTTCCTCCTCTTCTCTAAGCCTTGCTGTCACTCCCATAGATCCATAAACCGGGCATTATGACACCCTGGAAACCGCGGGACTCTTGCAAGAGTGACAGAAAAGCTAAGGCCTGTGTGTGGTCAGAGAGAACCCAGGGTCCATCCACTCCCAAGGCTTCACAGGGGTGCTCTGAAGGTGAAAGCCCTTCAGGTGTGTGTGAGATGGCGCCCAGTGTTCAGGGACTAGAGCTGGTTTCATGGAAGAGCAGGGCAAGGGGCTGTCTTTCCAAAACTTTCCTGGGGGAGTGTCTAACATTGTAGTTTGTTCACAAGGGCAAGGGCTGCTGACCACATGAAGAACTTTCACAGTGAAATCACCCAGGATGCCTTGGGGAATATGGCCATGGAGTAATGGCAAACAGAGCCTCCTATCTCCTCTTGACTTTCTGGGGTTGTCTTGGTCTGTCCTTGTTAAATGGCTTTTAAAAATACCTAGCGGGAGAGAAGACAGTCTCAACAGGAATGTTAATCTCCTGGGCTGCTTTCTAGACTTTTTTCAATTATATATTGTTTTAGAAGATATAGGATTGTCTTATGTGCTACTTTCATGAAGAGTTTAAAAAATGTTTTAGTTATGTTTTATATTTATAAAGAAACATTTGGGGCTGATTGGAGGTTCAGCAAATATATCCGAGTTCACCTGAGTTTGGGGTTTACGGTTTGGTTCAGTTTAAGCTCTTGGTGTTTGGCGGCACCTGGCAGAACACGGCCGCTCCACATGCCTGCACAAATGGGTGCTGCTTTCCCGGGGGGCACAGAACCGAACTGCTCCCACTGTTCCCCCAAGGAGATGAGCGTGATGGGGGCGGGGGACAAGCAGACAGAGAGCTGGAGGAAGGCTTCTGGGCTGTGCATTTGGATGACAAATGAGTGATCTGTTATTTCAGAGAAAATTTCCAATGTGGTAGTTTATAGTTATAATTTTATTTGTAAAAAGAGAGAAGAAAATATGTTTATGGGAACCTCTTACTTTTCAAGTTCTCTACCTTTGATGATTTTCCTTAAAAGGCATCTAACAACAACAACAAAAATCATTATTTTGGTGTTTCCTGACCCTCTGATAGTCTGTCAGTGTCGATGGAGGAATCAGACATATTTTCCATACATCAGTTTTATAATCTGTAAGGAGCAGGTTTAAACCCCCTTTCCTTTGGCTAGCCCATGGGAATTGTGGCAGAAAATATTAGATAACATGCATAAATATTCTAGATCACCTTAGCAAAAAAAAAAAAAAAAAAAAAAAAAAAGGAAATGGTAACATAATCAGTATTTTGGTACATCTTCAATTTCTGACCTTAATCCTTTAATTTTAGATAGATATTTTCTAAACAAATTTCTTTTGGTGAATTTTAAACTTTTAAATCCCTGTCTTGGTGGAAAGATGCAGAGGGATTTTGTAGTCAGAAGTCGTCTCTGTGTGTTCCAGCATCTTCCTGTGCTGGGGGGCCCAGTCAGGCCTTGTATTTGGGTAGCAAAAGTGACTAACTCAATGGTACATTGAGTGGGTTTTGTTACCCATCACTACCTCCTTCCACTTCCAAGACTGATGCTGTAACTAGGTGTATAGTTTTCTTTCTACATAGTATGAATAGGAGCTTGCCAAGATCCTGATTTTCCCCAAACATTCTAGGCCTTGCTTCTTTCCTATCTGATCTAAAACTCAAACCACTGGAAACTTTTTTTGTTGATTTTTCTGTTTCTGCTAAACAACAAAAGAAAGAAACAGTACTCATTTGGGAGAGGATGGAGGTAATTGTTGGCACCTCTCATATTACATTAATTAGCTCAGATTGTCCAATGAAGAATGGGTAAGTTTCATCTGGAAGCGAGAATCAAAGCAGGGATCAAAGCAGTAGAAAGCCATTGTGGTTGAAGGGGCAGTGGGAAGAGAGCGGAGGGTCGTCAGGCCGGTCAGATCTCAGATTAGGGGTTACCAGCGAGGTGTCTGAGTGGTATACGTCGGGGTGCGGGATGCTTGTCAGGTTTCACTTATTTTACAAATATGTCCTATCCAGGGAAAATACTACCCAATCCTTCTGGCCAAATCTTCTACTTGAAAGGGAAAAGATACTGGTCGTAAAACAAGAAGACTTAGATCTGTGTTTCACTTTATCAGTTTCTAGCAGAGCCAAGTCGCTTGGTCACATTGGATTCGGTGGTCCCTAAGTCCTCTCTTTGTTCTAAAACATCTAGGGTCCAAGCTTTTTAGGGTGTTGGTGGACTTCGCATCATAGAACATAAAGACCATGATATTTACATGAACTTATTTTACTGGTTTGCTTTAGATTGGGGCCATTGCTGGTGGGGTCCTGCTTTTGGTGGCCTCAGTCGCTGGTTTGGTGCTGGCGAGAGAGTCCTGGCATCCAGACATCACCCTACTGGCTGTCAGTTTCATCTTCCCTTCGACTGGCCATATCACGGGCTTCCTGCTGGCACTCCTTACCCACCACTCTTGGCCGAGGTATGGTTAAATTATCCATAAACTTTGTTGATGAGACTACATTAAACACACAGCCTTCGGCTGGCTTTGCTGCCTAGCTGTGTCTGGAAACAAAGAGTTTTGACTTACAAGGTGGATGGAACAAGACAGCTCATCATAAAGAGGGTGAAAAGATTAGAGTAATTCTTTATATAAATGAAGCACAGACCAACTTGATAGAAGTTGTAATCTGTGAAATTAGGATTGGGGTGTTAATACCGTGTGTAGTCTGGACACATTTGTCCTCATATTTTAGTACATAGGAGAGGTGAGATGGTTACGCTAAATATAGAGATCACTGTATGACACGGGCAAGTTCAAGAGATTAAACATATATGCATTGTTTGTGCCCATTTTTCAAAAAGTGCTACTTATGCGGGGCAAGAAGAGAAAAGGCAAACTTGAGAAATAAAATAGAAATTTATCTTAACTATTTTCATTACAAGTTGGGGAATATAATTTATAAATGCTGTGAAATATTGAAAACGATAATATTTCGTGTTATTGGAATGGATGAGATGAGCATTAGTTTACACTGTGGGGGTAACATAAATTGGCATAAACTCTCTAAAAGACAAATCTTAGCAACAACCATATGAATATTTATAGTTAACTCAGTGCTTTTGCTTCTAGAACTCTGTCCTGAAGCTATCAGATAAGTGCACAAATGTTGATGTGCAAGGATGTTAATTGCAGTGTTATTCATAAATGTAAGAAATAGAAACAATTTAAATATCTAATACAACAGAGATATTTAATTCTTTATGTGGCTATGAGATGGAGTATGAGTCAATTTTAATGCTCTTGGAAAATATTTAAGAGATAAATTTGAGATAAAAAAGAGTAGAAAAACAGTGTGCATTTTGATTGCCACCTTGCAGAAGGAAGAAAAAGTATTATATGAATGGAAAAAGCACTGGAAGAAATATATGATGTGCTAACAGTGTTTGAGTAGTGGGATTAAGACTAATTTTAGCTGCTTAATATTTTTTGGTATATATTTGATGTTTTTCATTATGTATTACTTTTAAAATCGAAAAAGAATTATTGAAGAAAAGTAAACTATGCACTTGAATTCCAAAGGTGGAGCTTGGGAATTTTTAAAATTGGCTTTCTGATGTTTCCAGGTAACTTGGGAACATTTAGATCGTACCAAATACTGGGTGGGGCTCCACCAAAAGTATCATTTACTTACTGAGCCTGAGAGATAGATATTATCAGTGCCCTCATTTTGCAGATGAGCAAACCCTTCAGAGAAGTTAAATAATTTGACCGAGTTCCTTGAGCCAGAATGTGGTAGAATTAGGATGTGGATCTGGGTTTGTTTCCAAAATTAGGAACATGACGGTTGAGTGGCTGAAATATAATTGGATCTGGAGAGAAAGTATTACTACAGAGAAGTATAGTCGACAATCTTGTTTTTTACACAACTGGCAGCTTAAGTAGGGTCGGGACTGAGATACTGCATTCGGGCAGTGAATGGCCTAGGTGTGAGGCCCAGCCTGTAGCTTAATCATATCGTGTTATTGACTTGAGTCTGGGGAAGTGGGGTTAGCCCCAAGAAAGCAGAGCAAGCAATAGCGTAACTAGAAATAGAGTGAGTCACAGAACTTGTCCTACACCAGTGACGACATTTTCACTCCCACGTCACACACCCACATTCCAATCCAGTTTGCATAGAGATGCTGGTTTACCTTCTGAAGCACCTGTCTCCTCTTCACTTCTGTCTATAAAAAACCTAAAGGCTCCCTTTGTGAACTAGAGACAGATGAAACTGCTTCACCCGGCCCTCTAGGTGCTGCTGACGTCTTCCTTTCTTTCCCTCCTGCTTTTTCTTTTTCAAGTGAGGTTTCTTTTATTTCTTGAAATTAAGAAACTAATAAAAGATAAGAAAGTGGAAAAAACTTATTACTAAACCTTTCACCAAAGAAACCATTTCAGACATTTTTTTTTTTATAAAATTAAAGGTTTACTTTCAAGTGTTGTTTAGCGTCTACTGTTTCATACCTCTAACTCAACCTTCCCTTCTCATCTCCTCCAAGCCTCTGCTCCACACAGGCTGGCTTCAGCCTGTGCAATGCCTCCAAATAGGCCAAGCTCACTCCGGGCCCTGGACCTTTAATTTCAATCTTTGTCCCATATTAAATGCCTCTTCCCCTCTTTCCATCCTTTAATCCCACTTTTCCTTTGTGAAGCCTTCTCTAACCATTGACACCCTTTTTCTACATTTCTACAGCATCTGGTGGTGTTACTGAGCTTTTCCTGTGTGTATAGCTTGACATTTCGAGCAGATTCCCAGGGCAGGGTTCATAAGGCCCTGCTCCCAAGTGTCTCTCAGGAGACCACCTGTAGCGTAATCACTTAGCAAATAAACAATCCTTGAATGAGTAATCATTTTTAGTGGCCTCCACTCATAGCTGACATTTATTGCTATCTGTAAGGGAACATTTAAGAATAGTCATTGCTAGGCTGTAACTTCTGACAACAATTTTTATTGTAGGTGCAGGACAATTTCCTTAGAAACTGGAGCTCAGAATATTCAGATGTGCGTCACCATGCTCCAGTTATCTTTCTCTCCTGAGGAGTTGGTCCAGATGATTAGCTTCCCATTGTCCTATGGACTTTTTCAGGTGTTGGATGGATTTCTCATTGTTGCAGGTGGGTAGAGGCCTCATTGGATACACTTGATTGAAAACTGTTGACCCAACTTACCGACTCCTTTTTCAATCCAAACGTGCATGTGCTGCCCTTGTGATACATTTTTAGCCTGACATTTTAGAGAAAAATAAAGCACATAAACAAGATCCTTTGCCATAAAGTGGAAGTTTCACAGAAAAATATTAAAAAAGCTATGGGAAAGTGAGCTTACAATGATAAGCAAGTATGCTTCACAAGAGACAGTGCACTATCTGTACTTCAATTTCAGGACTTGTTCAGTCTCCATGAACAACCATTTATCTTAAAACTGACATTTACTATGTTTCATCAAGAGCCAAATGTCGATAGGTAGAAACACTTTGCCGCCTTGTACACCCAAAGAAGGACAATAACGAAAAATAACCAGACTGCCAGAAAATCGAACTGTAAGGAAGTCTGACAACCAAGGAGCCAAAGAAACATTCATCTAGATGGGTAGGAGGGGCAGAAGTGGGCAGCAGGGGCAGAGAACTCATGGCAAGGCGGCGGCTGGCGGACGGGGCGGTCCCACATTTGCGTGAGGATAAACCGGGAGGAATTGCTGGGCAGCGAGACAGACCACAGAATCCAGGGTTCCAGTGCGGAAAAGAAAACCTCAAAGCCTCTGGATGTAAAAACCTGTGAGGCATGCGACAGTGGGAGAAACTCCCAGCCTCACAGGAGAGCCCATTGGAGAGACCCACAGGGTCCTAGAATGCACACAAACCCACCCACCCGGGAATCAGCACCAGAAGGGCCCAATTTGCTTGTGAGTAGCAGGGGAAGTGACTGAAAGCCTGCCGCAAGCCCAGCAAAAGAAGCGTTGTTCTCTCTTGGACGCCCCCCCGCCCCCCGCCCCACACACAGGATCACAACACAGGGACTGGGGTTGCCCCACCCTGGCAAATAGCTAAGGCTCTGCCCCTCCCAATGTAGCAGGTGCACTGAGACAAAGACATATGGTCCAAATGATAGAAGAGATCAAAGCTCCCAAAATGGAACTAAGTGATGAAGAGATAGCCAACCTATCAGATGCAGAGTTCAAAACTCTGGGAATAAGGATGCTCAGAGAAATGCTTGAGTATGGTCACAAAATAGAGGAACAAGCAAAGGCTATGCAAAGTGAAATAAAGAAAAATTTACAGGAAACCAACAGTGAAGGGAAGGAAACCAGGACTCAAACAATGATTTGGAGTAGAAGGAAGAGATAAACATTCAACCAGAACAGAATGAAGAAATAAGAATTTCAAAAAAATGAGCAGAGGCTTTGGAGCCTCTGGGGCAACTTTAAACGTTCCAACATCCAAATCACAGGGGTGCCAGAGAGAGAGGAGGAAGAGCAAGAAGTTGAAAACTTATTTGAAAAAACAATGAAGGAAAACTTCCCCAATCTGGCCAAGGAAATAGACTTCCAGGAGACCCAGGAAGCTCAGAGAGTCCCAAAGAAGTTGGACCCAAGGAAGCACACACCAAGACACATCATGATTACATTACCCAAGATTAAAGTTAAGGGGGAGAATCTTAAAAGCACAAGAGAAAAGGAGACAGTTACCTACAAGGGAGTTCCCATAAGACTATCAGCTGGTTTCTCAAAAGAAACCTTGCAGGCAAGAAGGGGCTGGACAGAAGTATTCAAAGTCATGAAAGACAAGGACCTACATCCAAGATCACTCTGTCCAGCAAAGCTATCATTTAGAATGGAAGGGCAGATAAAGTGCTTCCGAGATAAGGTCAAGTTAAGGAGTTCATCATCACCAAGCCCTTACTATATGAAATTTTAAAGGGACTTATCTATGAAAAAGATGAAGATCAGAAGCTATGAACAGTAAAATGAAAACAAATTCACAACTATCAACAGCTGAAACTTAAAAAACAAACAAACAAACAAAGCAACCAACTAGAACAGGAACAGAATCACAGAAATGGAGATCACATGGAGGGTTATCAAGTGAGGAGGTGGAGGGAGTAGAGTGAGGGAAAAGGTACAGAGAATAAGAAGCATAATTGGTAGGTACAAACTGGACGGGCGATTAAGAAGAGTACAGGAAATGGAGAAGACAAAGAACTTGTATGTATGACCCATGGACATGAACTAAGCGGTGGGGGGAATGCTGGTGTGATGTGGGTTGCCAGGAGGAGAGGAATAAAGGGGGGCAAAAAAGAGCCAAATGTCAAGTTATTTCACAGTGTTTTTGTGACTAAAAGTTGTGCTGAATGACTGTGACATATTTTTCAACTCTGAAATATATATACACAAATATTGAAATTGACTATATATATAATATATATATATACACACACAGGGTGGGGCAAAAGTAGTTTTACAGTTGTTCATGTGGAAAATAACATAAAAATAAATAAATAATAATGTAAGAATAACTGTGTTTTGTGTACTCACAGCTGTAAACCTATTGTACTTTCACCCCACCCTGTATGCTTACTTATCCCTACAAATATACCTCATTTTGGAGTCAGTCACTATGTAGATTCACAGAAGGTAAATTAAAAAATTATATATATATATAGCAAGGATTGACTGTGGGATGGAGGTAGTCTGGGCATAGGTGGGCAAAGGGGGAAAAAACTGGGACAGTTGTAATAGAATAACAATAAAAAGTTAAAAAGAAAAAAATCACAGAATAGGTATAAAAAAGAAATTCCCATTGATGAGACATATAAAAAATACATATATGAACACACACTTGTATTTTAATTTTGGCTTGTGGTCATTTTTATTGTTGTCAGGGAACAGGCTCTGAGTAAGTCTCAGTGATTGCTGATATAACTGATTATGTACTGATTACTGATATAACAATTAATATAAGGAATACTTGTGGTTTAATTTTCCCACAAGACAAGAGACTGTGAAGGAAGGAATGCGTCATTCCCTGCAATGTCCCCGGGGTCCGGGAAGCGGGCGGGTCATTGGCCCGCCGCAGGAGGCGCGGACAGACTGACAGACTGAGTGAATGGCTGAATAAGCGGATGGGCCGTCAGTGACCTGAAGACTGTCTAATTCACAAAAGATCCTTTCCGGACAGAAACTGCCCTTCTGACACACTGAATTATTTCGTTTCATAGTTTCCTCTCATTTTCCTTCCCCCCTCCTTTTTTCCTGTGTGTTTATACATACGTGACCCAATGCAAACATACTTGCAAATTATTTACCTGTGCACAACGTCACCAAATTACTGTTCTTACTAAAGTGATTTTTTAATACTTGCATGTTTTAATATCTAGCATATAAGATATACAAGAGGAGAGTGAAGAATAAACACAAGAGAAAGAACCCAGGTGGTGCAGAAAGCTGCCATAACAAGACATCTACCTCTCCCAAAGAGACCAGTGCTTTCTTGGAGGTGAATGAAGAAGTCGCAGTAACTCATGGGCCATCAGAGCCTATGGATCCCCCCATGACTGCCGAGCCAACGGGCCACATCTCTTCATGTGCATAGTAGGGTCTTGCTGGCCTGACTGAACACCGGCTTCCTCCACAGCCAGGAAAGAACGTGCAGGGCTGATGCGTGGATCTCATTGGCAGGGTCTGTGGAAATATTTTTATTTTTGTGGGACTTGTAAATTGTCAGGATCCCCTTTTGAGAATGTACTCTGCCTATTTCAGGGAGTCCTTCTGGGGTTCACACAACATATTTACTAGTTGCTGTGTCTTTGTCTCCGGTGCAGTGAAGAGTAATTCCCATTGTTGTGTGATGTCATCCTCACGTGGACTTTAATCTCTCAAGAGTAGGCAGATGTCACCTCATACTTCAGGGCAAGGACAGAGTCGGAACCCACTTGACTTTGGGAAGGTCCTTTGGAGCATTGGCAAAGAAGCCTACAGCTCTTATTAAAAACGGGGTCTTTTCTCAAATGATTCAAGTCTTTTTGGATCATAGATGTAATACAAATTTAGAGGCAATCTAACGAACACTGAGGTTAAAAGGTGAATGTCGTGTACTTTTCACTCCTCAGTGATAGGCGCATGTGCAGCCTTCTGCTTTTTGCTTACACATTATATCACTTTTAAAATATTGGGATTATCCCATATATACTGTTTCATAAGTCACTTAATGACACGGTATGGAGCATCTTTACATGTCAGTCTGTGTTATCTACCTCATTCCTTAGAACAGTGGCTTTGTGGAAGTGTTTCACTGCATGGAATGACTAACTTATTTAACCATTCCTTACTTATGGACATTTAGATAGCTTTCAACTCATTGGCATTATAATGCTGCTATAAACATCCCTGCCCTTCTGCAAGTATTTCTGTAGGATCACTCCCTACAACTTGAGTTGCCAGGCCAACTGCGCATTAAAACGTTGGCCAGATTGCTCCCGGCAACGCTGTTTGCATAGCCACGCCTGTGAGGGCCTGGTTTCTCCGCAGTCGCACCATCTAAAAGATGGTCAGTTTTGATTTATGAAAATATCTCATTTAAAATTGCATTTTAAAAATTATAAGTAAAGAATTTTCATGACCACTTGCCTATTCATGTCCCTTGCCTCCTCTTCTGTTTTATTTTTCATTTTTGATTGATAAATTTTAACACACATGGATGGTGACCCTTTGTCTTATGTTTTGTCAACATTCTACCTAGTCTTTTATCTTTTGTTTTTCTATAATGTCTTTTGCTGCACAGGAATTTTATATTTTTCACATACTAAGCCACAGTACTCTTTATAAAGATGTGTTTATCCTTGATATCTGTCCAATGTTAGAATATTTATATTTGTATGTGGATTGTGAATTGTGAAAGGACTCCTTTTTGAGAGTGTATTTGGCCCCCTTTTGGGGGTCCTCTCTGGGGGTTAATATGATGTGTGTACTAGCTGCTGTGTGTGCTGCCTGCCATTATAGAACCTGCCCTCCTTCTCTATTCTTATATTAAAAATATTCCCCATATAATTTCTCTGACTTTTATGGACTAAATATGTACATATTTTATTCCATTCTTAATTTATTTTTTCTATATGCTGTATTAAGAATCTAATTGTCCCAATATCGCATACTGAATCATTCATCTTTACTAATTTGAAATGCCACCTTTATCACCTAACTTCCTATATAAATGTGTTTTTGTCAGGACTCCATTTGGTTCTGCTTTCTTCTGTCTGTAATTTTATTTTTTCCAACAAGTATTTATTATTCGTTATGCCATGATGCAGGATCCCAGGGTGGGATGTGCCCAGGTCCCCCTTCACCTCCTGGGGAGAAAGAGGTGGGGTGGAGCCAGTTCAGCTCTTCCCAGGAAATGTGCCCTCTGCCCGGCGGTCATCGCAGGCTGACACCCAGGATATGGGGCAAAGGGACTTGTACACACACCAGCAGCAGTCACACACAGAACCATCACCCCCTTCAGCAGTCATTGCCTTCCCACAGCAGGGGAAGTCCAGATAGTTCTGCTAACAGTTCCTGGTCTGGCTCTGGTTGGGGAAGCAGCTCTCAAAAGGGGCCGTCTTGTAGTTCTTGATTTTGATCTTGACGTCTTCTGCTATGTTGCTGACTCCTCAAGACGCCCCTTGAAGCCATGCGCAGCTCAGTGTCTTCTGTCTATTCTTATTTGCAAGTTTTGAAATGTGTGAGAAAGTGTATTGTCTGAGATAAATCTTTACAGTTTTATTTTGTAAGTATCCCCAAGAACTTGTGGGTTAATACAATGACAATGATTATTATGGTACCATCACAACAATTAAGCCCACCTTTGTGACAGTACAGAAAGAGCCTCATTAGGTGTCACAAGTATATTTATAAGGAAAAGAACTACACAGACTTGTGACATGATTGTTCCTTCTCAAGTGCTGCTTGACCACTTGGGGATCCCCATGTGCCCACCTGACAAACACGGCCATACAGAGAAGCTGGTCTGTGCTGTGTACCAGTGCCCACCCAGCACAAGCAGCCATAATGAGGCAGGAAGGGTTCCTGACCTCATGGGTTATAGTCCAATGGGGAATAGATCATCACAGTGAACAGACTAGGGTTGTGCTTCAACAGATATCCCCAGGTCTAAAATGAGCATTATCATGCATTTTAAAGACTCCACACACAAAAAATGAATTTCTAAGTTGTTTCTCTATGGAGGAACCTAAATAAAATGGTAACATCCAACACTCCACTCTGAAAGGATTAACTATGGTCAACATGGTCAGCATTTACCATAGTCAGGACAATCTGGGGACAGGTCCACCAAAAACCATCCTTTAAGACAGAAACAACACAAATCAATGTAAGGGTGTGAAAGTAGTTACGTCAGAAGACTGTCAGGCCATACAGTAGCTTCAGGGTGAAGAATGTAACTACAAAAAGCTCTTCCTGAATAAACTGCATTCTAACTGAAATAAATAATTATGAGTTCATAAAAGCCAGCGTCTAAATGAATCTCAGAATAAGCTGGGCCAAGAGAAATAGGGTTAAGCAGAATGAGTCTAGCTCCATGTCTGCAAAAGAGCCAGATGGGTGCTTGGGGCAGCATGCTGTCGCGGAAAGAACATGGGCTTTGCCAGGGCTACTTGCTGTCTTCCACCTAAAGAGCTGGAATGCCTCTGGAGTGTAGGTTGAAGTCAGGCAGATCTGGAATCGAATCCCAGCTCTGTTATTTGGGCAACCTTGGGCAAGTGACAGTCCCATAGACTTCATTTTTCTCTCTGGAAAAAAAAGAGACACTCAATCCTAAACACCCTGAAACATATTAGGTAATGTGAAAATACCTGCTGTGATGCGTGGGAAGTGAGCAGTAAGTGTTACGCCCCCTTCTTTTCCTTGTGTAGTCCCAATGAGCCCTAGTATAGAAAGGGCAATTTAGCCTAAGCCAGTTTCATGAATCACATCTTAACTTCTAAGCCAGTTCTGACCAGCCTCTTTGTGTATGTACTTCCCCACCCGGAAGAGCCCCACCTAAATGCCTGGGCTTAGTCATCCTGCTTGAGAGCTAAACTAAAAAATTGGCAACATGGTTTATCAGCGAGTGTGCTGAGTTTGCTTAGCCTGACCTTTAGAATATAATTTTGGGTGAATGGAAAAAAAATGCAAGTTTCTTAACTTGCAATGCTGAAGATTACTTTCAAATACTTCCTATCTATGAATGTCTTTTCAGCAACTGCAGGTTTAGATAGTTCTGGGGTCAGGAAGATTTTAAATATTGACATAGCGTTAGCTACTAAAGAAATGGTGGAAACTGGTAGAACTGGAAAGGCACACAATGCTTGCTGCTCCCCAGTATTTGCTGTTTCCTCTGTCATCATTAACAAAACCAGGCCAGAAATCTGGCTAGCTAAAAATAACTTTTTGAAGCTAGAGGTGGCCATGTGACATAGTTCTTGCAAGTAACATGTGGAAGGCTACTTGTGATTTCTAGAACATTCTGTTTTCTTGTCCTAACTAGGCACTGACTAATCCTTTCTCATGTTATTTCTTCCTATTTCCTTTCGGAAATGTGGATGGAATAGCTGGAACTGCAGCAGCCATTTCCAGACCATGGAGGAAAGGCCAGGATACTTGTTTCTGTTGACGTTCTTGAACCATAGAATCAATCCCAGAAACTGCCTGTTTCTAAACATGGTTTTTTTTTTTGAAAGAAATTTCTAATTTGTGTAAGCCCATGTGCTTGGATTTTAGTTACTTGCAATCAAATGATCAAACGCAACTCCAAATTGATATATTAACATTTATAGTAGCTTAAAAATATGCAGGTGAACGCATCATTTGTCACATTTTTCTCCACCATCATAAAGTACCTTGAATATTTCTGAATTATATGAAACAGGAATACATTCTCTTACTGTCAAGGTATCTATGACCAGAGAATAGTTTTGGTGACGTATTTTTTTTTTTTAAATTTCTTGGAGTCATAACATTGCACTTAGTCATTTTAAAACCAAGAGATCTAGCAAGAATATCATGAACTACAGATGTGAGCACCTGATTTTTTTCTCTCATATCCTCTTCTCTCCTTTCTGTCATGATAATTCAGAAAGATTTCTGTTAATGACATCTACTGAAGTTTTAACTTGGAGGCAAAATGTTTCTAGTCCTGCAATGCTCAGGACTATACTAGGATATCATTCTTTAGAACATACCACTATAGTTCAGTTTGATAAATACTTCCATCTGATGTGTGTTTCCCCTTCTATAGCAGAGTGGCCTGGTCACAGGGAAACACCTGGTTGTTCCAACTCATTTCCCAGCTTCCTTGTCCCGAGCACTGTCTGACCAGTTCCTGCTGCTGGAATGAGCGGCAGTCATTGTGCTCTGCTTCCAGGCCTGCCCAGCTCATACAACCCTCCCACAGGCAGCCCTCCCTGCTCTTTCCCCCTTCTGGCTCGGGGAAAGGAGAAGATTCCCAGGACAACCTCGGAAGCTACGTGCCAATTACAGAATCTCCATCAGGCTGGGCTCCAGAAAATTGGAAGCAGAGCTGCCCTGCTGAGCTCTTCTCCTCCAGAACTGTCAGGCTAGAAATGATTATGTTGAGGGTGTATGTTGTAGTACTTAGTTACTAATGTGGGTTAAGAGCTCAGTTGTATTCATTCATTCATTTGATATATGTATGCCTCCATGTGTCACCCCGGCCCTGTGGCCTTGCCATGCTTTCGAACCAGCGTGCCCCTGGCAAATGGCTCATCTCATTCGGATAGTGGAGCCAGGTCCCAGATGAGGATGGTAACATGTTTACTATCATGACATCTCCAGGGCCTGTAAACCCAAACCTGCATTTTCCTTCCCCAGTTTCCATTTCCTAGCTACATTCTTTCCAGAAGAGGGATCTTTCTTCAG